GAGTATTGCCAAATACTCATCAGCAGTGGTCTTGCAAATAATTCTTGTATTTAATTTTAATTATTCGTTAATAATTTTTTGAAACTGCAAGTACCAGGAATCGAACTCGTGTCCTGCCAAATTTGAAGCTCAGGGTTAGCGCACCTTAACCAACTGACCAACTGAGCCGTACTTGACTTTTATGTTCGCACATTTTTCTATGTTTTATTAACAAATTCACTTGTTGTATTGCATGATATATATATTATTTCTTGTATATAGAACCTTCTAGGAACGTAATACTGAGAAAGTCATGCTAATGTTATTCCACGAGTCGCAGGGGCGAATAAATAAATATTTAAGTTTTAAAAAATATATTAATTACTTTTTGAGTCACTTGTAATGCGCCTGCTGTCAGATTTAGATGCTTTTCAGTTTTCTTTAATTCCTCTGTTTTTTCAACTAAATTTAAACTAACTTCATTAAAGATTTTTTCCTTATTCAACAGCTCATCTTTAAGCGCTTTTAATAGTAACATTTTTTCATTTAATTCGCGATGTTGGGAGTCCATCTTAAGCGTCATTTCATTATACGTTTCTTCAGCTAAATAAATGCCATTCTTATCACGCGCAGCCATTAGATCTCGTTTTAATTTATCTATTTCTTCAGTATACTCCTTCAGAACCGTCCGTTTTGTCAATTTTTGATTCACCTCTGGTTTATTTTGTATGTTTTTAGCACGATGTGCATATTCTAAAGTACTAAGCGTCTCCTCAATATCTTTATGTCCTGGTGATATTGTGGCAATTATAGATGTTTTTGTTCGACCACCTTAATTAAAAATCAAAATAAAAATTTACAATTTATCATACAAAAAAAAAATGTATTTAATTTACCTAAAGATTCCTGTAACAAACGAGTAAGTTTAGACTCACGATATGGTACGTGTGGAGTACGCTCCACTAATGCTGTTATAACACGTCCTAACGTCAATAAACTTTGATTGATGTTAACTGTTTCCCTGACCCGAATACCCTTTTCATTTCCAGCTTTTGATACATTTTCACTACCCGCCAAATCAACTAAATTTAGTTTGCCTATTTTAAGCATTTCTTCTCCATCGATACCATTCTCACGTATATGAACTAAAATCGAAAACACTGTGTGCGATCGTGATGATTGGGCATTCATTAATGTTGTAGCAGTTTTTCGTCGTTCTTTGCCTTTTTCTAACAACTTATATACATCGTCCTTGCTGTGAACTGGTATTTCTTCTAGACCTTGTATAATAACGGAACCTTTTTTGGTGCTATCATCAAAAATACGTATTTTGACACTATCATCGGATGACAACAAATCACATAATTCCTCATTATATAACTCAAGGTACGATATACGCATAGAAAATTCCAATGCCATTAGCCTCAATTCATCAAATAAATGACTTAAAGCTCTTGGTATTATACCAATTTCAGAGTCCTACCATACAAATATGAAAAAAAAAAATATATAAAAAATTTCTTAGTGTGAGTAACTAAGTCGTATATAAGCAATAAATTAGACTTCACTGGGATAACAAAGAAAAAAACATTAAAAATAAAAAACACTTTTTTTAAAAAGTTTTGTGTGCAAAACAAGTTTTAACCTTTGCTTTCAATACTACACTAACTCATATCTAAACATACAAAACATAGATATCAAATAGAGGTATAGACACATACCCATTTTGGCAAACTGTACAAATTTAATTAAAATTGATTATGAAATATAGGCACTTACGTCTTCCCATGATGATTTCAGCTCTGCACATTCATTGCCAACCATTGTATGTGTTTTTCCGGTACCGGTTTGACCGTAAGCAAAGACAGTACAATTATACCCAGAAAGAACTTCTTCGATCAATGGTGCTACCACAGTACCATACACTTCATGCTGCCTAGAATCTTGGCCAAAAGTCCGATCAAATGTGAATTTTTTCGTTAATTTAGAATCTAAGGCATGTCTCGCTACAATTTCTCGCGGTGATACAACATCGACAACTTCAGTTGAACGTATGCAACGTTCCCGTGCATTTAATGGTCTATAAAATACATTATTTATTTAATGTTAACTGTATTTGTTGCATGATTACCTGACGCGGACATAAACTTGTATATTCTGATTTGACGCTTTACGTTGATTTGCATTCATGCTTGTACCAGCAGACGTATTCATCGCAATTGTCAATGTAAAGTTTAACAAAATCCGCTTACTATTGGAAAATTTGCGAACAACTAAACTCACTAGTATTTTCACCTTCTTCTTCTTCAATTTAAAGTAGCCGTTGCGCTAAACGGCTTGACATTTAATTTTCGCTCGAAGCATATTTTTGGCTGTAGTTCACATTTCAGGCGAAAATGTCATGGTTGTATTTTATTATTACAAATTTGCACTCTACTCTTGGTAGATCTGTAATAATTTACATTAAACATTAAACATTAAAAATACAATACAGTAAACAAAAGCAATAAAAGTTAATACGGTAAGAGAGATTGTGAGAGTGAACCGTCATGTATGTTATGCATTTTATGTTCATATTTCGATTGCAAATACATGTGCAAGTTCGAGTAAATTGAGGTAAAGTAAATTGAAATTTCTTAGGGATTTTTTGCACTGCACTTATGTAAATAATTATTTATTGCAGTTATTTATTATTTTTATTTATTAAACATCTTATAAAATTTTCACAATTGTAACACCTAATTTAGTTAATTACTTACGTAATTTACCCTACTCGAAATTCTGGTAAATATCAACATTCGCTGCCATACCAACATAATTTACTATTTCCCATTTACCATCAATTTACTCGAACTCGAACAAATGTTAATAAAAAATGTGTATTTAAAAATCTTGCGTTATATTTTCAATGAAGTCACTGGCTAAGCAGTTAACACTTGTTCTTAATATTATGGAAATAACATTTGAAATATATTTGTGATGAAATTTATAACATGTTTACATTACGAACTTTGCTAAAGTTGATTTCCAAACGTCAACGTTCACATTATCGTTTGGGGTTTTCATATTGACAATTGTTGCTTTTTTTAATCTATTGATGAGCAATCAGCTTGAAACATTATTATGGAAAGCTGAGTTGGTATTTATAAATTAATATTGAAAAATGTTTATTCTTTTCAAAAAAATAAAATAAACAGAACAAAAATGCATAATAGAGGTATTCAGGGTGTTTGTGCATCGTTGAGTGTGCATCATTGCAAACTCAAATAATCGTGAACACATTTTGTGCATATTAGTCTTGAATAATAGTCTTGGTACACTTTTTGTTGCCACAATTCCGAATATTTTTGGCCAGCAGCTCCGATATTGTTGCAGATAAAATAAATATAAAATCAAATAATTGCACAAAATTACAAAATGACAAAATCAAAAAAAACGACAGTTTCACTAAAGTATTGTCCAGTGAACAGTAAAAAAGTAGTATCATTCACAATAGAATCTTGAAAATCAAATATGCAAGAGGTAATTGGTGTTGAAAATATGGTCTTGAATATTGTCTTGTAAAATAAGTGGCGAATTATAAGAGAGAATTGTTTTTGTAAAATCAAATAATTTTGCACATGCAACGATGCACAGACATCCTGAATACTCTTATTATATATGGAATTTTGAAAATTCTTTTGATTGGCATATAAATCTCAAATCTCTGATACGCATTTTTCAAATCATACAAAAGAAATTAGCAAAAACTGATTTTTGAAAAAATTTATTTTTAAAAAAAATCTAGAATAATATACATATAGTACAATACAAAAAAATATATATATTCTTGTATATCTTTATATAAATCATTATATATTTACGTATCATACATGCATGCAGTTAAATTTGCCTATTTGATTAGTATCAAATATAAAAAGTAGTGACGGAAACATTTTAAAGGCAACCCTGATAGCTTTATGACATTTGACCGCAATTGAAATGTGTTTTGTGTTTTCAATGTTTGAAATAAAATGGGCAGCACGAAGAAAACCAAACCTGTTAAACAGAATAATAAAAAACAAATAAATCGCACTCAAAAAAATACACATGTTAATGTTGGAAAATTAAAACAAATCAAGCAAGCCAAAAAAAATGTAAGTAATACATAAGGCACAAATGCTTCAATAAATTAGCAATGAATTTTCTTACAGGCAAAACAACAAAAGAATGAGCAGAAGAATCTGGTAAAGGCTCAAAAAATTGCAGAAATCAAGTCAGAACGTGATCGGGCCAAACAGGAAAAAGAAGCGAAAATAAAAAATTACAAAAAGAAGCGATTAGATAGAACAAAAGTTTTAAGTAAAAAAACCAAACGTGGACAGCCGTTAATGAAGGATCGGATGCAGTTATTGTTGAAGCAAATTGAAGAGATGAAAAAATCTTAATAACAACAATTTGTTTTCATAAAATGATATAATTGCATCAAAAACTCTTAACAATTATGTATCATTTGAAATGCGCTGAAATTTATAAATATAAAAACGAAATATATGGATCTTGTATTCTGCATTGCAATAAAACTGGTGGACATATTTATTAAAAGTAGATTAATCTTATATTTCTTGGTAACATAAATAAATTATGTTATTTATGTTATTTCATCTGTTTTTGTATGTGCTGCTGGAACGAAATGTATGTATTTAAGAACATATTCTCTTACATTCCTAAAGTTGTTAGATTTTAACAAGATTAACTGTGTCAATAGTGTTCTATTTTTCAAGGGTGAAGGTTTCCTTATCTGGGAACAATTTTAAAAAATTATCGACAGCCATTTTTCTAACGTTGAATTGTAATTGTTACTATTAATTGAAAAAACTACTTGCGTGAAGCATAGATTATTTATCTTCAAATTTCAATTTGGACAATCTAAGTAAACCTTGCAACTAAAATAAAAACATATCTGCATAGCTTCATACATAGAAAAATTTTTGTTTTATAAAAATGATATAGTTTCTAAAACAAATAGTTTTCATTTAGTATAAATTTTCCGACAGCACATTTCAGTATTTCTATTTAATTTCCATTACAAAATTTATCAAAAATGGCGCAAAATTTTCTGTACATGTTCGAATTTGTGGTCGATGACCTATTAATAACGCGACCGAACTGTTGCGCTCCAGAGGAGTACCCAACATGTTGCGAAATTTCATTTCGGTCTAGCGTTTTCGTTAACATTTGTGATCGCGAATTTGGTCAATGCGTAGATATGTGTGCACCAAAACTTGGTAAATGTTGTCTATTTTCTTTGGAATCTCCCGTTACTGACAAGGATCGACTATTAATCCATATATATAAGAAAAAGACAGAGAAATGCAAATTTTTAATTGGTGCAACAGATTTGGCAATAAAAACGCTCTTCGATAAGGTTACTGAGAATTTCAATATTGATAACCCGAATTGGGAAGAGTCGCTAAAACATACAGAGCCAATGCCAGATTTCAAAAAAGGCAAAGGAAATGATGGAGGTGAAAATAAAATATATAAACAATTTTTTTTTTTGACATTTATGTGCATATATAAATTGAAAATAATTTTTAAATTATAAAATATATTTTAAAGGAGAGGAAAACGGTGGTGGTGGTAAACCTCGAAGTTCTAATGTTGTTGATAATGATTGTGAAGATGAAGATATGGGTAGACGTGAACAATTTTGTCCGGCCTCGGAACTTACAAAACGCTTGTTACCACTTTTTAATATGAAAGGTGCACAAACAGGAAATATTGTTTTGATAATGCGTTTGGTATGTAACGGTCCCGCAATTGTATCCAGTTTTCCTTTCTCTCGATTTTGCTCTAAACCATGCGATCCATGTAAGAAACCACCGAAGAGTGCTAAAAACTGCAAAGAACCACCACCAAATCCCCTTGATGCAATATGTAAGAAGCCTGAGAAAAAAGCACCACCAGTTCGCAGATATTTTGGTTGTAATGCTGAAAAAGGTTGTCCGTTTGACGAGTGTGAAGACTATTGCGATCGTGGTGAAATAGGTACAACTGTTTATTTTTACCAATATTAAATTATTATTAATTAATTTGGTAATCTAGAGTGTCCGAAACCATGTACTCCTAAAAAACAGAAAGCAGCTCCCTGTAATGTGCCAAGTAGTTCTTCAGGATGCTCTGACCAATGCCCACAAGGTAAGATTATAATAAATAAACTTTAATATGAATAGATAAAATTAATGCATCTTAAATACTAAAAATTATTGTGACAAATCGTCATAACGCTTTGTGGCTATGTATTTTATTAAAATTACTATATTTTAACTTTAATTCGTATATCAATTTCGATAATAAACTTCCACAAGTTCTTACAGCTTATTTATTTATTCGATATTGAATACATAGTTTTCGTAGTCGTTGTTATTAAAAAAATTCAAAGAATTAACATTTGTTGAGATTCATAATAACATAAAAATGTAACTGAAAAGTACAGTAAAACAGGGTGCATGCTAGGGTCGCTGTAGCTAATTTGATGGAAAGAACTCGTAAGTAACCGACGATCAGGCGTTCAGTATTGTTTAATAGTAAAAAAATTCAGAAATTCTAATTTGTATTATTAAAAATTTACTGTTATAAATAATTAAGAAATAACTATTTCTGTCTAATATTAAATTTAAATCCAATACTAATACTAATTTACAAAAATTGTTATTTATATTTATTAATGACATGTAAAATATGTAATTATTCACAAAATAATTGATAAGATAAGAAATGTCATCCACGGTCAGATTGCTTCGTTCCGTTGGGAATCAGTATGTACTTTATACTCTACATGTATTTGATGCGAATTCAGATATTTGGATTATTTGATGCTGAATAGTATTTATTCGGGTATTGCTATCTTAATGCGATAAAGGGGCTTAATAGATGTGATGTTCTTAGGAGCTTTATCGGCGGTAGCATAGCTACTAGTAGAGCATCCCAAGCCGGTAAGATAACTGTTAATATCGAAGCTAAAAGCAATCCTCAAATTTTCAGCGTCTGTTACCAGAGCTCCGGCTTAAAGCGGACATCTGTACTTGGATCAAGCGGATTAAGATCAAAAGTCAATGGAAAACCACTGAAGTGCATGTCCCATGATATCATATAACAATTGAATTACAACTACAATCATGACGCTCAGTCTCCGGGAATACAAGGGTGCTAAGAATCCCGAAGGTAAAACAAAACAGACTTTGAACATTGTAGCCTGGAATACTACTAGAAGCTAATATGAATCTGGAAAATTAGTTAGTATAATTTAAGAAATGAAAGATAATATAGATACACTTAACGTAAGCGAAGCATGATAGCTCAACTGTGGGGAACCCTTTTCTCAAAACGCAAAAGTTTATTATTTTCGCAATCGAAACAAAAATCATTGTAATGG